AACGTGATCCGTTTTCTGAGGGACCTTCCACGCCGCTCATACCTCATTGAGATAAATATGCCCAAGCTGCAATAAATGTATTGGAAGTGTTTTTTTTAATTTTAAAAGTAAAATCTACAAACTCTTTTGCACGCCTGATTATAAAGAAAACATAACGGTTTCAATAAAAATGTCACGATTCTATACAGAGAATTCCCTACGTAGATGAACGGGTAATTTCTGTAGAAACCTCTAGATAATATAGAGGTCGTTTTCGTAAACTTTTCTGAGGTTTAGATGTAAGCCAACAACAAAGCTGGTTTCACTTTGAGTTACGAGCGGCGCTGGTTAAATCTGAAACAAACGGCGGCACTTTGAAGAAGACGTTATATTACTGTAAGGCACAGAGTCACGTATATCTGTATCTGTTCTCTATAAAAGTTGTCACATTTATTTAACACCATTTCTTGTATGGTTTTACAAACCGCTCAGGGCTGTGTTATTTACTCGGGTAGGTGTTATGCTGAAGCGACCAGAGCTATCTTGATGAATGGAGAAAATGATGACATCTGGGTTCAGGCAATTGCTGCAAATGATCTGTGGCACCTGGGTTAATTACGCAAGCAAACGTAAATTGAGTACAATAAGTATCGAAAGTTTCATAGACCTGTAAAGGCGTGAAACTCTGGCGCCACGGAAATCGCGGGATCTGTACCTCGCACCTGTTCAGGTTCAAAACTTATATTTTATTATTTCATCTGTGTTTTGCGGTGGGTACATCGCAGAAATAAAACTGCTCATCCGAGCAGTTGCTGCTTTCCTCGTAGATAGCTGCCTGTGGCAATCTGTTCGGCTTAATCTATTTTATTTTTTTTAAGTACAGTACAACTTTAAACCCCCACTTGTCTGTTGAACGTTAAACGCTGATCTGCAATTAACGGGTGATCCTCTTTTAAGTAAACGTGCATTTCGACGAGAACAGAAATCTGTAATTAACTGTGGTATTTGACATTAAAGGCCGCTGTTTCAATCGATTCTAATCTGGGTCAAAACTGAGACACGCATCCGTTGTTATCTAGAAACAAAAAAGCTTTCTCGTTTTCTTTGTATTCAAGATCACATTGAATAGTGGGAAAGGTGATATCAGGTTTTCTTACTTTAACCCATGCTTTCTAAATACTTTGCAAACCCTCCATTCCGTTGTAAAGATGTATTAAAGGCAGTTTATCTTTAAAATAAAAATCATTTTGGTCTGTCTCTTTGCTCTGAATGAGGTCGGTGAACGATCGCGCTTCTCTGAAGTTTGTCCTTCCAGAGCCGCCTTAGAAAGGGGGTTCAAACTGTTGCGTTGCCTAGCAGCGACAGACAACACTAACTTGCGCTGCGTGGTTTTCAAACACACGGTAAGGCATGGATACGTCGAAAAGATTCTGCCAGCATAAAACAATTTATATTCCACAAGTGCATATCGGAACACCGCCTCGTCCAGCATTTTATCAGAAAAATGATTTATGAAAGCAAATTATCAGCGGTTCTCTAGCTTAATGCAGAATGACATGCTAGACCAATCACACGAACAGGGCTGTCGAGTCGAGCTAACTGCTAATTTCAGATGTTTTGTAAAACTGAATCTTGCGTGTGACCAATCGAGATAAAGACAGCCTTATCACATTAGTTTAGATATAAATGTAAATAAAAAAGGATGTGTTTTTTTGTGGTCAGGTGCAATATGTAGGCTTCAAGTTGCTTTATTTCGAAAGTCAGTTGAAAAAGATAAAAAGCCTTAAACTGCATTTTTCAATACTGCATTGTAGTTTGTTAAAGATTTGTAAATACTACTAGCTATGAGGCCATATGTCCTGTTAATTTTTATCGTTAAGCAATTGCCTTTGTATGTAGATACTTAGGATTTGTTGGAAAAACTCATAGAATGTTATTTAATCAAGTTTTGAGTATAATAAATTCAGTTCTGTATATTACAATGCGATGGCAACTGTTACCTAATTCTTGTATAATGTGACTATTCTGCTTTTTGATTTTTCTTAATTTTATACCAGGTACATTTTAAAATGGGCAGTGTTATTTACATAGACTTGTATACTCTATATAACCAGCCTAAAACGTGTAGCAAATAGCCTGAAAATTCACTGAGCATCAGACAGTATCAGTGTGGTTATGGATGCCATTTTCCATAGTCCAGTCAAATGTACTGTAAATGACAATTACCTTTTTAAATAAAAAGCCAGCATTTTAACAACTTAAGTTGGAGTGTCTTTACTGTTGGCAGCACTACCTAAGCAGTTAAAATCACTATTAGGAGAGGCTGCAGACTGACTAATATTAAAACCCTCTGAGTTTGTGTGCATTGAGGCACAAGTACAAGAGTGATCTGAAGATGTGAGAGCTTGCTGTTCCTGGGATACTCTAGCAACACCTGCCCAATACATAACCTGTGTATATTGTTACCACACTCCCTGTCCTTAACGGCTGTGATCAGGTACTGTCCTGGGAGAAGGCAGAATTAGTTCTGAACAAAAGGTGAAGATCAGGTCAAGATAAGGGTTGAACTGTAAAACAGAAGTGGAAATATAGGTCATCGTACAGTATATCATGGAATGAGCCAGCTGACAATTTCCCACCACCAGATCATGCAGAGGCAATGTCTCATCATCACTGCAGTTTCTTTGAAACTGGGATTTTTTTTTCTGTACGACAGATCTTTGCCAACAAATGCTTCAGTGAGATGGTAAGACATTGCCAACAAACAAAAATGTGTTAATGAGGAAAAAAAATGACGATGTTCTCTATCTCAATGGTCTGCCAGTTAGAGAACTTATTGAAATAAAGAAATTTGATTTTTAAACACAATTCAACAGCTGTGCGTCTCACCTGAATTTGCCAGGTTTCCAGGGCTGTGCCGGTTTTCAGTCAGAAGAGAGTTGGGATGTCTGTGCCTTTCTCGAACACTCACCTGCGGGTTCCCCGTGGATTCGGGAACGTCCTGGAGGGACTGGCTAGGGAGGTCCTGAGAGACCAGCCCAGGGACATCCCTGCTTATGCGGCCCAGTACTTCAAAGCCCTGCTTAAAGAGCGAGAGGGTAATCTTTCATTCCTTTCATGGGACTTCTTAGGTGCTTGTTATTCTAAGCATTGACTAAACGTCACCAGCTCCTTCACTAATGGAAGCATACACCCAGACAACTGAAAGGGTTGTGTCAGATTTTCAGAAACATGAAACTTATTTCTTTATAAATTTAAGAAGTATTTTTTTTTATAAGAACCAAAAAACATAAGCTAAGCTAAGGTAATGAAAAATGTCTTTCATAAAAAAAGTTGTCTTTTAAGAATTAGACATTCGGTCTGAGCTGCACAGAAGGTGCTTGATACTCTTTGTTGTCACCTGGTTTGTTAATAACTGAGGCAGACCCACATTACTGCAAGATTTGTGGCATTGTGTAAAAGCAGAAGTAACCTTGACACAGTGTATTTAACAGGGGCTGTCAGGTGCAGAATCTTCTAAGAGGTCAGAATTCCACACCATTGCTGACAGGGTGACAAGCAAAACCAAATCAATATGGAAAATGTGTGCATTAAAAACTAAGATAAACGGCAACTTGCATATCTATCAATGTTTATATTGCAAATAAATGTGATAGCTGAGAAAAACTGAAAGGAAAAATGCAATTTTCATGTCAAGTAGAGGACCCATAAAGTTAATTTTGAAATGCTGGCTCATAAAGAATGGTTGACACAAGGCTTCAGAGATGAAAAGGGAACCCTGCAGAATAGTAGTTCTGGACAGGTGAAGCAAAATGTGATTTGTCTGAGTAAAACACAGAGTTCTTCCAAGCAGGGAAAAACAAATGGTTTTCACTTCCAGATTACCCTTTGAGTATATGAATGTTTGGGATATGGATTTTATGCAGTATTTACGATTGCTGTAATCCCAAAGTTTGATGTTGCTTCGAAAACTGTATGGGCATTTTTTCGTAGAAAGTGGCCTGGATCCAGCTGAATGGAGTGCTAGACTGGAAGACAGATTTTACAACAACCATGCTTTTAAGGTAACATTCTTAAAATGCTTGACTGTTATCCTGCCCATTCTTATGTCCAGAATGAAATCAATGCTTGCTGTGTTTTGCTTCTCAGCCTGGTGAGCTCCTAACATTGCAGATTTTCACTGTACAAATTTTCGGTTATAAAATTCTCTGCATCTGTAAGATGTTACGTGGTCAGACAGGGTTCACACATAGCTTACACATTTCACTAAATGAAAATTAATTGTTGAAGTGCATGATTGTTTTAAGCCACAAGAGGGAGGAATGTTGCATTATAGTAATAGTATTATAGGGCTTTACAAGCAGCATATCCTAAAATTGGACTTTAATTTTTTCCCCCCAAAGATGACAAAGGAAAAATAACAATATTCACAAATTCTTTCATTTCAATCTACAGCTGTGCAAAAACACCAACTAACTATTCACAGTTAAAAATGTAAAGTCCTTAAAGATGTATATTCCTGTTTGATCTTCTTGAACGTGTGTCTGTCTCATCCTCTTAAGATGTTGTAACAAATATATTGTAGCTCTTAGGAATAAACTAATTCTTTAAGATATGAACTACTACATTTATCACTGCAGTAAGTAGCAGTGAGTTGATTTAAGTTGATTTACCAGTCATCCTATTGTTTTATTTTTGAGATATAGGAACATAAAGACACATACGTTCAGGTTCAGAGACAGTTTCTTCCCACAAGCTGTCAGATTTCTGAACTCTACCCCTACCACTGGCTGACACTGATGGGTTTTTTTTCTAAGATGTATGTTATTTAACTTGTTGTTGCTGCTTCTGTTCTGTGTTTCTGTTTTTGGTGTTTCCTTAATGTCTTTGTATTCTTTGGATTGGAGCATACATGCAAATACACACTTCATTGCACTTGTGCATATGACAATAAATTGAACTGAATTGATTTGCAAGCCTGTATGAAGGGCACCTCCTGCTGTGTGAGGTTCACTTGTCCAGAAAACCCCCTCATCTCTTCCTTGGACAATCCCATGTTGTTCACAGGCATCAGAAGACCATTGGCAGAATACGGAACAGACTGAAGTTCCGCTGCAATATTAGAATAACAATACCTAGACAAAAAGTAGATTTGTTCTTGTTCTTTAACACTGCATTCCCAGATTACCAGTAAGTGATTTTATCAGGTAGAACCTTAAAGAGACCTTATTAACTCATTTATGTTTCACATCAAGCAGGAAAATCAGAGGAAGACTAATGACAGCCCAGAGAAAGACGAAGCTGCGGTGAAGATCCAGGCTACTTATCGCGGCTATGTAGCACGGCAGGAAGTGAAGAAACTGAAGACGTCCACCACCAACCTCAATGAGTGAGTCTGCTTTACCTGCTCAGGATACAGGCCAGACATACAGTACAGGACCAGCTCTACTGCCGTTAGCATGAAAAGGAAGACGCAAGAGAGGGACAAACAGTATTTATTTTCAACTGAATGAATAAATGTGATTTTTCTACAAGGCTGAAGCCTTTAATTATTTTCTTTCATTTTAATGAGATTTTACAAAACAGCATTGCATTAATATAAATAGCAGGATGCAAATAAGAGGCACATTTCCTCAGTTCAAGTGCTGTCTAAACGAGTCTAATATTTAGCTCTGACCTTGGCTTTGGTTCCAACCTCGGTTTACAAAAACAATTTGAAATCTCACAATGACAGTATTTACATAATAGCTTTATTAATATCTGGATTTTCTCATTATACAAGAATGAATGGTTGTTCTACTGTCTTGCATCCCCAGGTTCTGGAGGTTGCATGTTTGCTTGTTTTTTTTTTTTTTTACCACATACAGTACTCTAGCATTTTCTCACATGCTAAAGATATGCGGGTTAAATTTGATTACCTGCTCTTGATTGTCCATTACCAGGTGTGTGTGGGGTGAGGGGTTATAGAGAAACCAAGTCAGCTGACGTATGCAGACTGGCAGCCACTTAGTTATGAACTAGTGTTATTTTTTTTTTCCGTCTGTTGCAACAGAAATGGAAGTACTTATCAAAGAGAATTTCCTGAATTTATAACTTGTAAAAATTTTCCAACAGAAGGCCACTAGATTGCTCCCTTCTTTTAAATGATTAAACTGCAGTTTTATTAAAATCTTGTAATCCAAAACAGTCTGTTTGATTAAAAGCAAGTATTTGCTTAGCAAACGAATGTTGAATGCTTAGTTCAGTGTGCCAGTTAGACAACTGTGTCTTTCTGCTGTTCTGCTTAATAACAAGCTCTTCCAAGGGTTTAGCAGGAGTAGCTCAACACTAGGGGGAGTCAAACTCCACAGCTTCACCATTGCTTTAGTTATAAACATACAGCAGCAAGCAGTGAAATCCATATTTATATGTTCTGCCTCACACTCGTAACAATCACTGCACTCATCTGAACTATTTTATTGTATGTTGTGGTATCTTTATCTTCCTCTTCTCCCTGCCCTTTGCTTCTAATAACATCAAAGGTCTTTTATGATCAAGGAGGATACTTCTGAGACAAAAAAAGAGCAGCTACAATTGTAACAAAAAAAGTACATTTTCCTCTGTAAGACCACCGAGATGATTGATTACACCTAGAGGATGTAAATATATAAATTTATATTAACATAATTACCAAGAGCAGTAGCTTCTTCAGGGCTAGGCTTATCGCTTCTGTAATCAGAGCTGGTGACAGTGTGTGGGTGTTTATTATTATTTATTTATTTGTTTGTCTAAGGGTGTGTGGGTGCATTCCTTTATGTTGGAGAGGGAGAAGAAAGCAGTAAGGGGGAGGCATATTGAAATGTTTAAACAGGCCGAGTAAGCAGAATTATTAAAAGCCAACCTTGCCTGTGCTGTACAGCAAGGCACATTTTTACAGAAACTACCATGCGCATCAATTGTCTGTTCAGTTTTGGTGAATTTTGGTACCAGACAGCTTGTGTACAACTCTTAGAAACATGTTATCTTTGGAACAGGTGTAAACTTATTGCACATTATGTCTCAATTGCAGCCGTGAAGGCCAGCAGCCCAGTACATTTATTTATATCTCTTTTTAATCATCAGCAGCACAAGGCTTAAGAAGAGTGTTAAATAAACCCTCTTAAACCCTTTTGCACAAGTCTGAAGCTTCCGGTGTTGTACATTTCAAACTCCTTTCCTAAATTGCATACCATCTTTGCTTTTTTTTCTTCCAAACTGATTAATCAATTAGGCAATTAACATAATTATTCTATCATTTCAACATTTTGAATTTGCTTAAGGATTTCCACAACTTAATACTTAATTAACTGCACCGTTACTTATAAAACACATTGAAGCCTTGTTTGAATAATTATAATTATACATTTAATAAATTAGACTTATTATGTAACTGAGAGCTTAGCTGGAACAAAAAACAGAAACACCAGGCCATCAGAACCTGAGTTTGAGACCCCTGGTTTAATGAAACCTAGAACAGAATCTTTAGCATTTACTAATAAGAGTTCCCTTAAATTGACAAAGTTTTTCAACATGCATGATTTAGGGTGGACTATAAAAGTTTTTGGTTTGTGGCTTTTCAGGATCAAGGATGAAAATCTGTTGTATAAGTAATTCATTAAGTGCAATTGCTATAGAAAAATATTTATTCTGACAAATTAAAAAAACTAAACTGCCAAGTGTGTGCTGGTATGTGTGAGTGCATGAGTTGGTTTTGGCACTGTAATGATGTCTCAGCCGTGGTATTTATTAGGCTGGCTCCGTTAACACAAATCCCAGGGACAGACATCCCACAACCTTCAAGCTGTAAGATGCTGCCATTGTTTCTAGAGCAAAGAGTGTCACGACAATTACAAGGCTCTGCCAGTTGTTATTCCTACTGTGTAAATATATTTCTGAACTAAGTACATTAGTTTGAGGTTTTGCAAATTGTAAAAGCAACAGCAAACAGCAATAGCAATATCAAATAAAAAAAACTGCAAAGGCCTCACTCATATTCTCTTCCTCTTCAAAGAAAGGTTGTACAGACCATCCTTTTCTCACGAATGGTACAGAAGTATCTAATGATCATTTAATACTGGAAAAAAGTTCTTTAGATTGAGTTTCTATATAGCATTGACTGTGTTCTTGTATTTAATGTATTTTCATAAAAGAAAGCATTCTTGATTCACTTCAGTAAGTTCCCTGGAGTCTTTTCAATTTAAGTCATCAGTAGTTTTTTTTTAAGAAAACCCAGAAATATTTGTAATAACTTTGACCTTTGACCTTTTCCAGCAAAAACATACTATTGTGTGCGTGCTTAAATGTTATGTTGTGCAAGGGGAGAACTTTCTTTAATGTTTTGCCAGTAAATAGACATCTTCACTTCCACTACGGTTTCTCTAGACCTGATAATTGAAATACAGTGGTGGAATACAACATACAGTACAGTAACACTAGAGTAAAATTGTTTCATTCAGTAAAAACAAAATATTTTTAAAAATTATGCAGGCTTCACAAGATCAAAAAGAGAAAATAAAATGCAAAGATGAAAAATAGCATGCGTTTGTATGAAATATAATGCAGTGTGTTAGAAAAAAAGAGTCTGAAAAGAGCTGTTAACCTTTGTTTTTATTCCCAATGTCCTCCTTTAGAAAAACCTCAGGTAAAGATGGGGAACCACTTGAAATTCATGATCCTGAAATTATCGAACAAGTTCAGGTTCCAACCATCACATCTGTATATCCCAGCGTGTTTGCTGAAGACCTGGATGCAGAAATTGAGGGAGTCGATGAGAGTGACGCAGATATCGGTGGAGCTGAACTTGGTCATGATCCTGCTCATGAATTCCCCTATGGTGGAGTAGCCAATGTGGATATCTGTGCTGAGGAACTGAAAGGAATCGCATACAATGAGGAGACAGTGGATCCAACTCCAGGTGAAGTGTACTTTTCTAACAGATCTCCAGCAGATATGGTGCTTTTCAGCCCAGGTGATCTCAGTGCTCTTGAGGTCTTAGACAGCCCCAAGCCAGAGGGACAGCTTCTTCCTCAGGGCGAAGAAGAAGATGCCGGGGAGACAGAATCCCAAGTTGAAGCCCTTGACAAACTTGGGGAGGATTTTGATGCAAGCGAGAAGCATATTCTCGAGACGGAAGAGTTGGAAAACCCAGGGTGTTCCAGTGTAGAGGAAACGCACTTGGGCAAAGCCAGGACAGAAGCTAAACCCGATACCGTTGAGGAAGACTGGGTTTCTGCAGATGGGCGCTATTCTCATGGAGCTGCGGAACGTGCAGAAGGAAATTTTGAGATGAATGAAGATACAACTTCTCCATCTGCCCCAAAGGAGAACAAAATAGAAGGGGATGAGGCTCTGGAGGAAACGGTTATGGAAGTCACCCCTGAACTTAAGGACATGGCAGAAGGGAAATCCCTAGATGAAAAGCTGGAGGTTGATGAGGACGTTGACCATAAAACTGACAATGAAGAGGAAGGATTGAAAGATGAGGATCCAGATGAAGATACCAAGTCAACCTTGAAAGAAACGGTGAGTGAAGAAAAAAGCCTGCAAGAAGACAGTCAGAAGGAAACAGAATTAACGGACGAAGATTTGCACTTAAAAGGCAGAAAAGAAGAGCTAAAAGCCCAGGAAGATGGTGTTGAAACCAGACAAGGTGAAGATGATCAAGAGGAGCATGAGGATGAAGGTGAAAGAGGACAGGACCTAAACACCGAGCAGGGAGGTGACCAAACGGTATAGTGATTTGTTCCTTAACCTTCTCAAGACCAAGTAACTTGTTAGTCTTGAAAATACTGGCTCAGCTGTCAGTTCTTTTGTGTTCTTGGCCTTACTTCATTATCTTTGGGAATATAAAATCATGTCATAGTCAATTGCAATTATGAAAGGGCATTTAATTACAGCAGCACATCATCAGTAATAACTTTTCCAGTATTACTTTTCAGCTAAATTTGGTTTCCCTGGTGGCACTCATTTTTGTCTAAATCCATAATTTGCATTCTGATTTATTCACTATTAAAAGAAGGTTATGCTTTATTGCTATAATAGTGAATCCATAATTACAAATTGCTTATTTATTCAATATATAAGAGTTGGAAATTTTCACAGACGTGTTCTGATTTTGTAAAAGACTATCTCAGTGACTTGGTCTTGTGTTCTGGGTTTTTTAAACATTGTGCAGTGTGTGTGAATACGTTTCAATATACTGTATCTGAAGCAATCAAAATGTGGGCTTGACTCAAACTTTCCCACAAAACCTGATTTCAAATGCAAAGACTGTTCGAAAATAATGAGAAACAATTAATGACTATTATTATATAATACATACAAGCAGTACAGTCAATGGGAATGTTTTGATTGAATTTTGGAGAAATCGCTTTAAACATTGCATGACAATTGTGTGACTGTAAATTGTTGTTGATTGTATCCAATAACGCTGTTTGATCTTCAAAAACCAAAAGTATAACATTTGCCTGTGTTGAATACATGGGCTCTTGATTATGGATTACCAGAATTAAGCAATTCAGAATTCTGGTTTATTGTAATCTGAAATGTACATTTAAGTATTGATGATACCCTTCTTTATCGTTATCAAATATTTCTGTTGTACTAATGACAATAACATTAATTCCATTCAGGATTATTTTTATTTTTATAAATAAATCTTACCAGACTTGCTTTTATGTAAAATGGACACCTTTTATTCAGAGTAAACCATTCATGATCAATTATTTGTCTTAATTCAGGCTCCTCCGTCGGTAATCTTTAATGGAGTGTACATTTCAGGTTTTACAGTAATTGCTTTCAGAATTTCATTTCTCAACTTTTTTTTTTTTACCATGGATTGTGCTTCTCACTAATATAAAACCATTAATTTATTAAGAAACAAATTTATTTGATGTGTGTGGGAGAACTCTGTATGTATTTATGCACTGTTACATGTTTGACTCTTCACTGAATCATTGGCACCCATGTGTGCGTGTGCCTTAAATTGCTGTACAACTGTTATTTAATGGAGGTGGCCAAGGTTTAATCCACTGGTGGTGGTTATAAATGAACGGCTTTTGAAATCATGGCTTCACTGTGTGTTTATTTCCTCTGCTAATTGGTTTTCAAATCTGAAAGGTTGGTGTGTTTGCTGTGCTTTGCCCAATATAATTAAACTTTTAAAAAAATTGATTTTTCTCTTTTTCATATTGCATCACTTTGCTGACAAGGTAATTTGATTTGGCATGTTGAAACCTGCCCACCCCACACATAAAAAAAGGGAAGCATTGTTCAAAGACAGTGCAAGGCGAACATGAATATGCATGTCCTGTCACTCATTTTTATGCTGAGGTTCTAGATTTTTTTCACTAGTATCCCATGATAGCGATTTCTTCATTTCCCTTATCAGGACCCATGTATTGTGTGGTAGATCTGTGACTTTTTAACTCAAGTGTCAGTTTTTTGTGGTTTTCTTCTTACTCTGTTATCTTTGGTATAGTATGTAAAAATTATGTCTTCACTCAACACTCAGGTAGTCTTGAGTTGTTGATCTGAAATTCAGAGAGGAAAACGTATAGATCAGTGCTAAACTGCAACTAAGTAGTTGCATCTTGGAATATTTGGATAATGATGCAAATAAAAAAATACACATTGCAGTACGTACATTATTTTGCTTACGAACAAATATTTGTACCATATTTTTTTTCTTTCCTTCTCTTTCAAATGGAGAATTAAGGATGGTCTAGAATTGTCTTCCAGCATGGAAGTTTTCGAGGATTTCAGTAATCAACTGCCAAGCGTTCTGTCACTGCTTTCTGGGTCCCAGGAGTGCCCTGATGGAAAGCATCCCAGAAATAGCTTGACTTCTTCGTGGCACTGAAAAATGCTGGAACGCTTGTAATGGGATATTTTAATACATGGAGAAAATGTTTGGTTTTCTTAATTTAACTGGGGATTGATGAGAATTCAGTGAGCAGGATAATTTCATTGTTTGTTTGTTTTGCTCACTTTTCTCAAAATTAAGATATTGGACTGTCTAAGACAAGGTGAAACAGTGTTACGCAATCCTGCGGTCCCTGTAGGTTTGCCAAATGTCAAATACTTAGTGCATAAACTAATACACTTCCCCAGAGCCATGTGCTTTGTCTTGCTTCACAGAGGAGAATGTTGCATAAACTGTTGGTTCATAAGCTGGCAGTTCTTAAGAAATTAAAGCAAACCTGATCTTGGTATATGTGTTTGAACTGCTGAGTGTATACAAGCAGGTGCCCTATTTTCACGAAATGTATATTATTTACAGAAATCCAGGTGTATAATTTCTAGTGTTTCCATATCCATCTGTTTGCACCAATATGATGAACCTTTTATCCAAAGCAGATTTGACTTCACAGCAAAGATTGCCCGGTCTGTTGATTTTTTGCCATCCGCTACATGTGTGAATGTTTTTCATGAATGTGACAATCCACTTGTTGACAGTTCACTGCAGGATAGCCCATTCCCTGAGGATCTCCCTATGGCTTCTGCCATTTCCTGTTGGCCAGCTATGCAGAGGATGACAGAACCTCATGTTTGTGCCATGGCTGTTTGGAGACGGAGCCTTCCTTTGGTCTCTGCCTCTTTTCTCTGGCTAGCAGTCACTTGGTTATCCTTTGAACTTATTTGAATTTTCGGGCTCTTTCATTTCTTTACATTTAAATGAATTATGTGCTCTCTGGAAAAACCTTTACTTTAACGATGCTTTTCTTTCTTTGTCAAAAACAGCTTAATGGTAATTATATTCATCCTCGAACAATCTCTTGTGAGACTGCTGCTTCTTCCTCTTCTGGTGTGCTTGGGGAGGTCTTGAACTTGTTCTTCCGAACTCAGGCTGCCCCCAGGGCTTGTTGCTGTGCAACACAGCCTGCCCAGGTCTCAGCTCAGACAGATGCGAAAGCTGGGTAACCAATTAGGTAACTTCGTATTCCCAGCCTCCCTACCCCAGGTGGAGGCTTGATTGACGATTTCCCAGAATAGCTCCATTACAGCGCTGCCTCCCGGTCCCTTTTGCCACTTAGGGAACTGGGGGGTGGGGGGTGTTATAGGAGAGGGACTCATAGGAGAGTATTGCCATGGAAACCAGTACCAATCCTTGCTCTCCTCTCTGAGAGACAAGAGTGCAGAGGCTGACACACTGTTTCACAGTGAGGGAGCCAGCTGTTCTGCCAGTGCAGAGAACGCTCTCGGACGGAGTTAAGAAATAAATTGTCATCTGACGTCACTCTGCAAGTAGGTGCATGTTGTCGCTGAATTAGGTAGCCGCCTTGTGGGACCCTTTCATTTGTTTCCTTTGCAATTTCAGGCACTCAGTAATCACATTTTGGTGTTACCTACCAACAGCAACAACACAGAGAATCGCTACAATCGATACCTTCTGTAAGTTGCCGTGTGGTGAGCTAGGAATTTGAATTGGTGTCTTTCTTTGTTTCGTTTAAAATGTCTTTTACCCTTTTGCCTTGCGCCCTTAGCTACTTAGTCATTTCAGCGTCAACCTTCTAAACTTTTGCCGTAGTTGTTTTTTTTTTTAAATCAGTATATATCTAAGTCGCATACAATCATTTTAAAATGGCATTGCTGTTTTCTGTCAAGGTGGGACCAGAGATTTGTTGTGTGCCGGTGCCAGGAATTGTTAATGATATGTGTACTCATTCAGGTGGATACAAAGCAATTTTTGGATGACAACAAGCTGTTGTGTAAATGGCTTAGTTCATTCAGATGTTCTTCCAGTTTCCAAACAGCATGATTGTAGGGTGGCCTGCTTCTGATCAGATCTTAGGCAGCTATATTTGGATGCCGTGCTACAAGAATGGAACTGGGTGAAATGTATTTGATATCGTTAGTGTTACTAAGAAAGGGGTTATCTGCCAAGATTCCAGTTGCACACCTTCCTTTTACTTCTGTTTGAATAATATGTGTTTTAGTCACACAACAGGCAGCAAGGCAGAGCAGCCTACAAATTCATGTATACCCTAGATCAATCAAAAGTTAATTTAGCATAAAGATCCAGGTGTGCATTCAGTTTTTCTTGGTTCAGGTAAATAACTACAGACTTTTATGACTTTCAAAATCATATGCATAAACAGGATAGTTGTCAAAAGAAGTTAAATGAATTATGTTCAGATCTGTTCATACCCAAGCATTTAGAATTTTGTGTACTCTCCTTTTGTAACCAGTAACTTTAAATGGGCATTAAAAGTCTGAGAGATATTCAACCATTAGACCGTTCAGAACCTTTTTCTTTACCATTTTCTCAATGAATTTGGTGCTCACTTTGTATTGTAAGGTCCAATTAATGACCCCTCTTGAGCTTCTTAGCAGTAGCCACCACCATTCTGGGGCTAAAATATACAAGTAAACTTTGGAATCTATCTGTCCCTCAGTTCTATGTCAGAACCAGAGGATGTAAAACAACATTAAAGTAGAAGCGATTCATTTTCTGTGCTTCACTGAAAGGGTGATGTTCTTTTATCACACATATGTTGCGAGTTGACCTCCCAAATCAGTGTTTCGCATGATTGAGTAAAGCCTTCTTTTGCTTGCCCACTAGGGGGAGAATATCCCTTTGGCCTTGAACGTCTTGGTGAGCGGCACCACAGATGAAACTGGGATGTCTTATGGATTTTTTTATAATAGTGTTTGTTGAATAATAATAATCTTTCGCCTTAGACCTTCTGATCCTATTTGAAACCAGCACAGCTGAAAATATGGATTCA